TCATTTGTTTCTGCCTTGTACACAGAATATCTGTCTCCAAGGCCCAGCAGTTGTTGACATTTGAAAATATCACACTGCACTGGAACACTTTATATTTATGCCTCTGTTGAAAGCAAAGTTATATCTCAAAGTCCCCAGAACCCACCATTACTTTCCAATTGCCAAAGCACGAGTTTTTGATGAGGGCAGAGTAAGTCAGCCAGCATGCTCTCCACTCCTAACTCCAGCCAAAAGCTGCTTAACACATCAGTCTCTGTCCTATAAATCAGGATAGAGGAGGACTATAACCGATTTCCCCTTCCTCCCTCTTTTAGGAAGGACAGAGTAAACGAGGTTACAGAAACCTGACAGTTATTAACAGGGATAAACATGATACTCCTGACCTTAACCGCAGTTACTGAATCAGATGCGTGTGCATGGCTCCATGCGCACATGCATGTGTGCGGACGCCACAGGACTCAGATTTTCCTGGCAAGTTGTCTGCTGCTGGCAAGATGAAGCAGTAACACTGCTGGCACAGAGATTCTGAGCTGAGGACTAACACAGGCCAGCAAAGTCAAAGTGAAATTAGGTTTCAAAGATTCCAGTCTTAATTTTCCCCTAGAAGAGAGTCATTCTCGTCATTGTTTCCATAACAGTAATATGTGCTCTTGACAAGCTATCTGCAGTTGTTTTCACATCCAGACATTCTATGTTGGTTATGCTCTGCTTGGAGGCAGACAACGGCTTTGGTCAACCGAGATTGCAGCCTTTTTACATGATGCATCTCAGTATGTGATGAAGTCTGTCATACTTAGGATTGTGCGACTCAAGCTTCCAAAGCACTCAGCCAACATTAACTAAACATAAAAAATAATTTAATTTTAAAAAATTTAAGTCTGATACTGCCAGCCTCAAAAACTCTCATATTTTACAGTGCTAAGAAAGAAATATCCATATAAGCCAAGGAGATGTTCTCATTTAGGGCCAATCCCATGAGTTATTTACATTGTCAAATCCTATTTAGGTACCTAAATAATAGCTGATTGCAAATATTTTTGAGACCGTGGCCCTTAAACGTTAATCTCTGCCAACAAGCAGCTGAAGGCTATAGAAAACCATCCTCTGACTTCTTCTCTTCTTTGAAAATTGAACCACCATCGGTTAAAGAAAACCTGGGATTTCTGGGAAAGTGTCCAGAACTGCAAGCTAACAATGCCTGAAGCAGCCACTGCCATATTCTACGCTGAGGAATTTTTCTTCTTACAAGCTGGCTGATGTAATGTGTGCTTCATTAATATAATGTTTTTGTGCTTACATTTCCCATAAAAACTTTCTATGAAAATAGCATTGCCACTGATGCTTGACAAACAGGGAGTATTTACTACATAATTTTATGGTCGTTCCCATGCATCTTTATGTCCCACCTGCAGTTCTCTTGACGGAAGTGTGTGTGGTTATTGTATCTATCAATTAGGTCAGATATGGAGATGATTGCTACGAATTACGATGGGTGTGGTATCTATTGATGCTGTATTTCATGCAATAAACAGTGTGCTTAATATCAAAACCATCTGTACATCAAGGAAGAGAGAAGAAACTGCAATATTTAGTGCCGACTGCTTGTTTTGCTCTTTGATGGATCCCTAATTAACTGACTTTTCTTAACTGATTGCCAAGGGGATATGCAATGCCTTTTCCTGAAAGACATAAAACAGAGAAGGGAGATGATACAAAGAAGGAGCACACTCCCTCTTTCAAGGACAGGTTTGAGCCTGAAGTCAAAACAATGAAAGGCTGAACAATTAGTTCAGCCTGAAGAAGAGAAAATTGATGAGGCTCATCGCAGTCCACAGATTTTTCAAAGAGAAAGGAATCATCTGTTTCCCATGTTCACAGTAGATAAGAAAAGTAGCAATGGGTTTCATTTATAGCAAGGGAATCTGGGGTAAGATAGCTGAAAAACAGCAAGGAGAGTTCACCATTGGCACAGAACGTCCCAGGAGATTACATATTCCTCTTCATCAGAGGTGTTAAAGGGGCAAGTATGTCAGAAAGGACATAGGGAATGTTAATCCCACACTTAGACAGGGAGATTGATTCACTGACTTCTAGACTGGTTTTTCTAAATTTCTGATTCTATGCCTTTGAGAAGGTGTTATCCTGTGGTAGGAGTAAGCCATGGGAGCAGGATGAAGAAAGATGACTAGAAATAGTGCAGACTAATGAGTCTTTAGACTTTTCCTTTCTGATGGGGTGGAATTAATCTCATCCTAAAGGTTTTTTCAACAACTTTACAGAAATACAATGTAGATAAAACCAGCTAAATCAGGCTGATCTTTGTAAAGATCCCTTTACAAGAGCATCCAGACATTTCTGGAGCCTAGTTTAAATGGACTGTTCTAAACATCCGCCTTCAACTGAGCCAATCAAATATCTACCATCTACCTTGTCAATAGCTCTAATTTTTATTTACTGTGAAAGAGACTGGCTTAGTTGCAGGTACCTACTCTCTTGATACCTAGTGTTAGCTAAAATGAATCCCAATACAGGTGATTGGTTTTCCAATCCCAGAAACTTTGTCTCTTGCTCGCCTCTAATATCAGGATCTCTGAACCCAGACCACAGAACAAGGGCATTCTTCCTCCCTGATAAGTAATTCCCAAAAGCCCCTCTCTCTACTTTCCTTTCCCACCTTCAAATTTTGCTTTTCTTTACTCCTTAAGCTTCAACACCTTAACTGTTATTCTCATCAACTGGCTGAAACTGGGAAATACTGGAGGGATGTAGTGACAGAGACTAGCACAGTGTTGCTTCAAGCTGCTTTTCAGGGAAGCAGAGACAGGCTTTCCAAGCCTTGCACAGTTGGGCAGTACTTACTAATAATTTTAATGTTCTTAGATTAACTATGAGGAACACACAGACACACCGTGTAATCACACAAACTTCATTTCCCAAGCAAAACAAGCTAAAAGGTCAGTTGTTCATTAATTCTCTCTCCAAATCTTGCTTCTACCTCAGACAAGGCTGACTAGATCCGTATCAGTTGGTACATTAGCTATTAATGGCAAGCAACCTAAACAAGTTTTCTGATACAAAACTTCCCCAAAAACAGAGAGCAAAGTTGATATACACTTCACAAAGGAATTGGAGACATAGTCTGGAATCTAATTTTCTGCTCTTTCTTCAATTCTGTAGTCAAAACAGTCAATGTTCACTGAATGTTTATCTAGTAGAAAAGCAAACACCATAACAAATTGCTAAAGTTGTATTTTCAGCCTAGATTTTAAGCTTTTTTTTTTTTTTTCAGCTCAGCATAATACAGTTTTAAGCACCAATCTTCCAGAGAGAGATAGTGCTTACTCAAAGAGATGATGATATGTCAGACAAATAAAGACTAGGCAGAGTCAGGCTATGTCTGTACTTTGACACGAGACCTCCAAAAAAAGAGCTATGCACTTCAAAAAGGGATTTAGACAAATCGGTTGTCAGCACTTCTCCCTGAGTCAGCTCTGGAAAACATGCTGCAGGATTCACTGTGAGGAGACAGCGGGCAGCCGCAGGTGTCATCTTTCAGATAAGAGACACAAGCAAATCCAGACTATGCAGTCAACTACCTGGCTCTACTCTCATTAAAGGCAAGGATGGCCGTGCTGGCCACATTGCCATCTGGGAAACTCCCCTGCTGCCCAAATACATCCCCCTTACCTTTCTAATTCCTGTCCTAAAGATGGATAAAGTTACTTTTCCACAGTTAGTACATTTTACCTTAGAGGCAACTACAACAATTTCATTATTGCAAAGAGCAAATCTGGTGCACTATTTGATTATTACTTCCATATTATAAGGTCTTCTAGAGGAAGGCGGAATGTGTGCTTGCTTCTGTCTATGCCTGATACAAAATGTCATTCCTTTGCCCCGTAGCAAAGATACCTTTTTTTTCAGACTCGTCCTTCAGCTCACAACGTAAGGTCTGTGCAAGACTGCTTCTTCTGCTCCTACACAAGCTAATGGAGTGTTTCTCTAGATCCAGGTAAACCAAGAAGCCTTCCAGTTCCACAGGTTAGTCAGGGAAACACAATTGTACCATCTTTCATTCTGAATGTATATTTGCATCAAAAACAGTGATGAAGTGGTGAAGTTAAACAAGCACACACATGATGACTATGAAGTAGCTACTACTGTAACAAATTCTTTTCTGATTGATTTTTCAGTCAGCTGTTCTTTGAGACCTTTGATATTTCAAAAAAAGATGAGAAGAGTTGATACCAATGGATTACAAGCATACCCTGGACTGAGAGAGAGTGCAGTGGAAATAAAACCTTTGCTGGGTCTTGCTCTACACAAAAATAAACTCAGCTGAAGTGGTATCTTTTTTTTATTATTATTTATCAGCTTATAGGTTTTTTCTTACTACTGTGGTTCCTAAGTTAGGAATATTCTTTGTAACAATAAAGGTATTTGCAAATCAAACATGTATTTTCCTTAAAGGACTATGTACATTGATTACATTATTGTATTAGTCAGTCTCTGAGAAAACAGAGAACTCCCTGAATTTTCTCAGATGACTCTGTGTGCATTTGCTGATTATATTTATCTTCCATACAGAATTGTATCTATCTTTCTTTATCATACTACCTGTGAAGCATTATCTAAATCTCAATTGTAAGAACTGTGAGGTTGAAAGATTGTGATAAAGAAGCAGAATATATTCAAAGAGACAATAAAGACAAAACGCTAAGAAAGACCTTGCAAAATAGGAATTCCACCAAACTTATTACTATTTCCTATGGTATATGAAATTCAGGCTGAAGTAAAGTTTTACACTGCATAGGTAGATACATTTCCCTTGCAGGTTTATTGTTGCTTTCAGTTACCTCTGATTTTCAGTATCTAAAGAATAAAAATATTTATTGTGTTTCTGAAATCAATTTAGGTGATACAGTTTTGGCTTAATTAGCATGATATGGAAACCTGCCCTCTACTTTGGTTGTAAACATTTTAAAAATACGTCTTCTTACCACTTTCATCCAGCAAGAAATCATCCTGGTAACGGAACTTTTCTGGTCCACATGCAATAAAAATGTCATCATCGCCAAAGAAATCCTGAAGGCACATCACCTGCAAGTAAAAAGGAAAGCAAGGCATTGTATGAAATACCTCATCATGAGAATTGTAAGAACAATAAATCCCTCCTTGTCTCCATCTCCATGAAAACTCTTCACTTTTAATGGAATCAACAGGGCTTCATCTCCAGATAAATTTCAAAGCTGTGCTCTGACCATCTGTTACAAGTGAGAAACACTTTTATGGACACTGCAGGAACAGAGAGATAAGACAAAAAGCTGTAACTGTCACATTTATTACATGATGCATCAACAGGGTATGAGGTAAATGCCTTTTGTTTACGCACAAGGTACCATTCAGTAGTTAGTGGATAATTAATTTGCTTTTGAGCCTACATTTCTACCCTTTGACTGCCATGAAACAAGGTTACAGCTTTGTATGCAGAATTAAATGTAGTTATTTCAGCAAAATCTCCTGTACAGCAAATGAAACTCATATGAGTGAACTGAGTCTCCCTCACACACCTTTCATCTTCACCCGCAGAGTCGATGTGAAGCCTCTTCGAAGGCACCAAGCTGAAAAATCAGGTGAGCTGGGAATGAGTCTTCTACTGAGTAAAAGAATAATCCCTTTCTAGTCCCAAATATGAACAGTCAGGATTACGTTGGTGTAGTTTTATGTCTATACATGAGATTTCTTTATAACCGCTTTTAGCTCACAAGGTACTACTTATCAGTTTAATATTTCCAGTTATATGACTATTTTTACTAACGTTCTTAAAGAAAAATCAGTAACTTTCCAAAAACCTGACTTCAGACTTATTGATCCAGTTTTGAGAAATTTTTAAAACAAATTAGGTATCAGACTATCTTCAAAAAAACAAAGACACTTGGTGAACAATATTATAAGCTCTGTTTCTGCTTCACATTTACAAGAAGATTTTAAAAGGCTATGTCTGCTTATTTTTTTTATAATGTTTTGTAAATAAATAGTGTGCTAATGTTTGAAGAGGATAATTTCACAGATAGAGTTTCAAGTCAACAGAGTACAGACAGGAAAGCAGCACATAAAGAATTTTTAAAAATTGACAAAATAGTTGAGAACAGCCCAGTTGAACCAGATCACTCCCCTCATAAAAAACAGGGGAGGGGGAGAAGTCAGCATTTAAAGCCTACAAAAACACAAGTGAAAGAATTAGCTAATGAGATTAGACAGACATTGCCAGACTTTGGCATAAAAACAAGCACCCCCCCAACCTGCAGTGACTGGTGTCTAGGGGTTATAAAATTCATATCATGCTTCCTGGAAACATGCCTGAAGGCTTTGGCATCTACAACAGTTATGAGCCGCTATGCTAGAAAAATCTTAAGAAAGAAAAATAGTGGTACATGTCGTGACTTGCTTGCAGATTAACATTTGTCATTAAAACCACTTTAAAGCTAGAGCAGTACCAGCTGAAAAAAGAGGAACTCAAGAGAACAACTAGATGAAATAAATACCCCAAAAGAAACAAAGGTATTCCGAAAATTATCCTCTCCTTAAGTAATGCACATAATTCTAAATTCAGGTCCACCACAACCCTATTCCTATCAACACTGTCATCTTAACACCACATAGTACCTGAACACCAACATCAAAAATGTAAATATTTGATGGAGCTTTTTACCACATTCCTACTCAGTTTATGTTCTATTAGTGCATCAGCCTCAGCAACCTTTATATAAACTCATTTACTTCCCATCTTTTTTTTTTGTCCGCAAGACATATCCTGCCTATCTTCCCACCCCACACTCCCACCAAGCTTCAAACATCTCTTCCCTTCAGTCAAGTTCCTCTGAAATTGTCACCTCTCCTAAGTTTGCCACACTTCTGGGGAGTGATAACCTTTACATTTGTGTTTATACTAAGCAGAGTATTAGAACTGAACAAATAATAAGCGACCCTAGGCACCAAGTTGAGCTATTTTGATAAAAGGCACAAATGAAAATTAAATTCATATTTGAATAAAAAAATTGTATAGATTTAATAAAACTCAAAAATGCTTGGCTCTGTCCAGTTAAGAGGGTTTCATTCAAGCCTAAACAAGACATTAAAATGGAGGTAACCAGGCTCAACTATGCCAGTATTTAAAGCGTCTCAGGTTCAATCAGTGCAATTTATATGCAAATAAGAAAGAAAATAGGATTAGCACAACAGAAAAATAATTTGCACTTAGATATCCTTGTTTTTTATTAAACTTTACACTTATAATTTAAAGTGTTCTTATGCTTGCCTTTTTTCTCCATGATCTCAGTTACCTACTCTGTATGTAAAACTATACATACTTCTTACAGTTTGTCTTGCCTCCTGAGGTTTTAATTTGGGAATTATAATTCTAGGTCCTAGAAAGCTCATAGCAAGAGCATAAGTTCCCTCCAAACCCATCTCCCTCCAGAATAACTTCAGGCTTCCAGTATCTTTTTATATTATTTATGGGAAGCCTTGACATGTCCTTCACTGTCTGCTTTCTCCTCTGCAGCATTTTCCACCCTTTCTGTCCCAGCATCCCTGGCCCGCTCCACTCCCCAGCTCCCACTCCTCAGAGGTTGCACTGAAGGGCCTTTCCAGAAGGCATCTAACACATACACAGCACCCCCTTCCAGACTTTTTCGGAGCGAAATCTGCAAGCACTTTCTATTCACACTCAGTCATCAGCTAAGCAACAGGACCTGCTTTTTATTACCCATTTTCACTTCTGAAGACCACAGCTCCTCAAAAGTTACAGTTTAGAAGATCAAGGATTTGTATCACCCGTAGCAGACTGTGCCAGTGATGAAGAGGCCAGTGTGCTCTGTTGCACGTGATCAGCTTTAAAATTAGTCAATTTTTAAAATAGTGAATTACAAAAGCCTCCCTGAACATTTTTGTTGTTTTCAAGTCACAGAATCCATCTTCCTCATTTTCACAAATAAGTTTTTATGTTCCATATTCCACCAGGACCTTTCTCACAGTGGGGAAAACAAAGTTTATGCAGCAGCAGTCAAACATACACCTTAAGTAAAAAGAAACCGAAAAAAAAAAAAGTACTCTACCACACACCTGGTACTAGATATACAGTGACACTTGTAAACAAAAAACTTTCTGGCAAAGAGGTGAAACTTAAAGCTAATGGTGTCTCTCTTACACCCTGTAAGGGAATGAATAAATAACAGTAACATTACCAGAGGCCAGGGAGTCTCAGGCATTACAATCCTTTGCATCGGTGGTGAGAAAAATGACAAGCAGCAGCAAAGAAAATCGATCACCAGTACGGGCTTCAGGCAATACGCAAGTCACATAAAAACGCACACCCAATGCAAAACAGAGGAGAGACAGCAGAATTTGTCATGCCTAAACTCACTTGAGCAAGTTGTACAGGCTGAAGCCTAGATCCCCCACAAATCCTTATCCTAGTAAACAACTTAAGAATCCCACATGCCCTTCCAGTGGGAGACACAGGTGTCTGCCTAGGAAGAATCCCGAATTATTTCGTATCTCAGATGCTGGTGTGGCACTTTCGCTAGAAGCCCAGAGGGGACACGGGGACCCAGCCGGGCCAGGCACAGCCACGGGGGGAGCATGCAGCAGAGCAGCAGAACTGCCCCAGAAGGAGAAGAGGGAGCAGAGCAGCAAACTTGTCTTCCAGTCCAGGATCAGGACTGGCTTTACACCATAGCACGAACACTATGGGCATGTTAAAAATTACCTTCACTTTTCTTTCTTTTTTTAAACAGGCGAGTACCTGGAACCAATGAGAAATCGCTGAACTATTGCGGAGCCTTTTGTTTTCCTGAACTGGTGCAAAACATTCAAGCTGTTAATATTCACCTCTTTGAAGTCGGTAACTTTGTTACGGAGACACTCCTTCTTACATCTTCAAAAGATGCGAGAAATTATGCTTTATGTTTTGGAGCACAGATGACCCTAGAGTAAGAATAGCAGCTTGTAGAGCCATTACCTGGTTTTATTCTCTCACCACAAGTGAGAAAGAGCAGTCAGTAGTGGTGTGGAGGAGGTGCAGAGGGAGGGAGAGAGGGAAGGGGGAACAGAGGGAAAAGAGAGGGGAAAGCAGAGGGGGAAAGAGGGAGAGGGAGAAGAGGAAGGAAGGGAAGAAGGGAGGGATGGAGAGAGGGATTGAATCAATCCTTTCTCTAAAATCAGAAATGAAAGCTACAGATGAAATCACCTTTTATAATTGCTGTGTTCTGGCTATATATAGTAGGGTCAGGAACCTTTTTGAATTCATGTTTTAAAACAAACACACACAAAAAAAAAAAAAACAGATCAAAATTCTTTGCATTTGTCTGTCACAGCAAATCAAATACTTTCCTATTGTCTTAAAGTTGACCACATATCAAGTTAATACCAACTCTGAAATTTTTAAATAAAAAAGAATCAGAAACTCAAATTTTCCTCTGCATTCAGGAATAGCTCACAGCACCAGCACAGTACACCACCACCACCAGAATTACTAACTCTCATGGTTTTTTTACAATTTTCGTAATGCTGGGTTCTTGGACAGAAAAGGAGGAGGGAGGTGTTTTGTGTGTTTGCCTTCTTTTAATAACAACAACTTAATTAGACTCAAAGCTGAAAGCTATTTTGGATGAGCAATGAGAAAACCTCAAGCTGGAGTGCCCTCAGGCATCACGGCTGTTGGAGAGCCGGAAAGAAAAGTGAGGACAAAGAAATGAGGTGGTAAAAGAAAAAAGATGCAGAAGGAGATCTCAAATTATAAGTGGGTGTAGGAGTTTTCTGAAAAGAAAAAGAGAAATGAATGATGGCAAATGGAAAACATGAGGCGTAAAGGAAGGAGGAGACAGGGGCTGCAAGGCAGGAGCACACACCGAGGGTGACAGAGCAGTAATTGAAGCTGGTGTGGAAAGAGCAGCCCAAAGGACAGGGCAGGCAGAGAGTCAGTGGCAAGTGCCTTCCAGACTTCATCCTGTAGCCAGCCAGCTGGGAAGTTTTAAAGCTATTTTAAAGCAACCTTTTTGAACCTGAAACAATCTCATGTTGAGTTTGATTATCATTTC